GTATAGGGATGAGGCTGGGATTAGGGATGGGGTCTGGGAATGGGACTCGGGGCGGGAATGAGGATGAGAATAGTGTGTGGGTGTGGGGATGGGAATGGGGTGTGGGAATGGGGATGGAGTGTGGGGATGGGGATGCAGATGGGGATGGGATTGGGGTGTAGGGATGAGGCTGGGATTAGGGATGGGGTCTGGGAATGGGACTGGGGGCAGGAATGAGGATGAGAATGGTGTGCGGGTGTGGGGATGGGGATTGGGATGCAGATGGGGATGGGACCGAGGTGTAGGGATGCATATGGGAATTAGGGATGGAGATGGGATGTGGAGATGAGGCTGGAGGGACGTGGTGGGGGAATGGGACTGGGAGTGAGGATGAGGATGGGTATGGAGCTGCATCTGGGGATGGGGTGTGGGGGTGGAAATGGGGATTGGGATGCAGATAGGGATGGAGATAGGGTGTAGGGATGAGGATGGGGATAGGGATGAGGATGGGGCTGCAGGTGGGAATGGGGCTGGGACTGGGGTGCAGGAATGGGGATGGCGTGTGGGGATGGGATGAAGATGGAGATGGGGGGTGGCGGTGGGGATGGAGTATGAGGATGGGAATGGAGATTGGGATGCAGATGGGGATGGGGTGTAGGGATGAGGCTGGGGATAGGGATAGGGTGTAGGAATGAGACTAGGGGTGGGGATGAGGATAGGAATTGGGGATGGAGGTTGGACTGGGGATGAGGCTGCAACTGCGGATGAGGGTGGGGCTGAGAATGGGGATTGGGATGCAGATGGGAATGAGGTGTGGGGATGGGGATAGGGTGTGGGAATGGGACTGAGGATGAGGATGGGGATGGGAATGAGGGTGGAGGGTGGAGATGGGCTGTAGGTATGGGGATGAGGCTGGGGCTGGGGTATGGAGACAGGGAGGGCGGGGCCTGAGAATGGGAATACTCATCCAGCTGAGCAGTGGGAGCCGTGCTGGAGCACCAGCAGCAGCCAAGGAAGGGGGGAAACAGTGGGATTTTCCCAGTGATACATTCACAGAGCTGGGACACCACAGCCAGATCACCCAGCCCTTCTGGGAGCTCTTGGGTGAAACAAAACCAAGCTCTGTAGCTCAGCTCTTGTGCTGGTGCTTCAGGATGGACCCTCTACATCCCAAATGACAGATGGATTTTTCTTTTTAATTAGGAGCTGCTGCACAAGATGAGCTGGGATACAAAGCAGATTTGCCATCTTCCTTCCTCCTGGGGGTGCCAGGCATAGAAACAGGAGGCTCCACATCTGGCATCGGCACCTGATCCTCGAGGTTGTTCATGGTCATGGGGTTGTTCCGCCCGGAGAAGAGGCGGCTCAGGGGAGACCTCATGGCAGCCTTTCAGTGCTTACAAGGGGTTATAAAAAAGTGGCAGAGCAGCTTTTTGCATGGTCAGATAGAGACAGGACAAGGGGGAATGGTTTGAAATTAAAAGAGGAGAGATTTAGGTTAGATATTGGGAAGGAATTCTTCCCTGTGAGGGTGGTGGGGCCCTGGCACAGGTTGCCCAGAGCAGCTGTGGCTGCCTCATCCCTGAAAGTATCCAAGGCCAGGTTGGATGGGCTTGGAGCAACCTGGGACAGGAGAAGATGTCCCTGCCATGGCAGGGGGTGGAACTGGATGAGCTTTAATGATCTTCCAACCCAAACCACTCTCTGATACAATTCTGTGATTCTCATTGTGACTGTTGGGGCAGTAACACATCACAAACTCTCTTCTCCCAGGACATTCATCTGAAAAAACAGTAGAATAAAGATAGTAAACAATAAATCACTATTGAACATGGGAGCTTTGAATTCCAAAAATCTTGACATAGAGACATTATCTGCTGTTCTAACAGCTTCCACTTCTCAGGAAAACATCACACTGCTGCAAGTCTGTATTCTTTCACAACCTGATTCCATCCCTGCTGAGGGTTTCTTTGGATTCTTCCTGTTGGTCATGTAGGGGAAAAGGATGTTTTTGGGATGCTGGGGAACAGCAATAGATGAGCTTAATTCCAAAGACTTCTTGCAGCCATGCAGGATGTGTTTTGGTGTATTTTGATCTTGTTCACTCTGCCTTTGAAGGGAACAGCTCCCTCTTTGCTATGACCACCTAAAGTGGCTTGGTAGGTTTTTTCCTCCAGTTTTTAGACCTTTCTTAGTAAGCTGGTGACCAAGCAAGTTCACAACACAGTGGGTACACTGACTACTGAGCAGTTGCTGCATCTGTACTCTCATTTGTGTTATAGAATCCCAGAATGGTTTGGGTTGGAAGGGACATTAAAGCTCATCCAGTTCCAACCCCTGCCCTGGGCAGGGACACCTTCCACTAGCCCAGGTTGCTCCAAGCCCAAGTGTCCAGCCTGGCCTTGGACACTTCCAGGTTGAAGGCTCAATCCAAACAATTATAAGGAACAAATGTTCCCATCTACATCAGCAGTGATCTGCCCAGTGGTGCAGAAGAAACACAATAAGGTGATTTTTCTCTTCCCACAGCTCCAACTGTGAGCAATGTGAACAATGAAGCACAGAGCAACACTGAACTTCCAAGGAAAACAAGGTTATGTGCAGACAGGCTTGAGCCAGATAAGCTGAGATGATCTATATCCCATATGAGAAGCTTTGCCAGGGAATTTGAAGCCAGTCTTCGCTTCCATTTTGAAGCAGAAAATCCATATGTCAAAGTAAAAACTGTAGAGTAAAGCGTGGACTGAGTATCTGGGGCAAAGAAAATAAACATAATCACGCGCCACTGAATAGTGGAGTGTTGGAAGAATCTTGTGTTAATCAATACAAACAAACAAAAAACAAAAACCAAACCAAGCAAACCCAGGGCACAGTCTGAAATTGCAGCAGCTCTCAGTTTGCCATGTAGCCAGGCCACTTTCCTGATCCTGAATGCCAGGTGTTGGAAAGAATGCCAAGTCACGTGGATAAGAGGTGGCAAAGCGGATAAATTAAATATATTTTAAGGTTTGAATATAGTTTAAGGTTTCCTTCCTCAGGGTTCTCTAGAGTGGGTCAGTGCGGGGTCAGGCAGCCCAGCCAAGGGGATTGTACAAACTCCTGCAGTAGTCCCTAAATCCCTGGGAAGCTGTGGAAGTGCCAGCCAGCAGTGCCTTGCTGTGAAAATAACTCACTGAATGAGTTTTTACACTTTCATCTCTCGTGTTAAATGCAAATTCACTTCTTATGGCCGTGACACGGGGGTAAGAAAGAGGCAGGGTGCTCACCCACTCAGGAAAACATGATTTTTTGCCTGACCTTCTGTTTGAATTATCATGCCAACCACAAAACAAAGGACTGCTTTATTAGATTGCTTGCCATCAGGATTTCCTTAGGATTTAATGATCCCAGCCATGAGTAGGAAAGAACAGAGCGTGGCAAATACTGAGACTTGCCCTAAGAGGTTTAAATTAAACTAGAAGAAAACACACTGACATGCAAAACCCTTGACAGCTTTCTGGGTTGAATAAAAGTTGGCATTTGATGGTTGTGTTAAAATAGACATTAATAGCTTGTTGGAGCTCAAATGTCTTCCCCAACACTTCCTGAGTGAGCAGGAGGGCTGGACACAAACCCTGGGCTTCAAAGGCCACAGTGCTGGTTCCAAGGTAAACAATTGTGAATTATCCAGCTGACAGCACACAGCTCTGCTTAAAAGGAAAGGTACACCCAAGTGTGAAAAAGGAGGCTCTGGCAGTCTTTATGCATTTCAAACTCTTATTTGTGGTGTGTGGATGCCCCTTGTGTGTGTCTGAATAGCAGAGTTAAACCACTGCTGTGTGTCTGAGGGCAGGGGGAGAGTAAAGATTGGGAAGAAATTCTTCCCTATGACTTCTTACCTACGACTCTTGTAACTGTGGTAAGAACTGCTTCGACTCCTTGAGCGATCTCTGCTGTGCCACTCTCTGCTCCTGCTGCTGGAGTAGCTTCTTGACCTACAGTGAACAACAGGACAGAAGAGAACTGAAGAGGAAGCAAAAAAAAAGTCATAAATCGTTTTCTTTTAAGCTAAATATTTATTCCATGCTTGCCATTAAGTTGATCACAGGGCTGGAGCACCTTTGAGAGCTGGGGGTGTTCGTCCAGGAGAAGAGAAGGCTCCAAGGACATCTTGGAGCCCCTTCCAGTGCTTGAAGGGACTCCGGAAGAGCTGGAGAGGAACTGGGGACAAGGGATGGAGGGATAGGACAAGGGGGAATGGCTTTGCACTGCCAGACAGCAGGGTTAGATGGGATATTGGGAAGGAATTCTTGGCTATGAGGGTGGTGAGGCCCTGGCACAGGTTGCCCAGAGAAGCTGTGGCTGCCCCTGGATCCCTGGAAGTGTCCAAGGCCAGGCTGGACAGGGCTTGGAGCAATGTGGGATAGTGGAAGGTGTCCCATGGGAGGGGGTGGAACAAGATGGTCTTCAAGGTCCCTTCCAAAACCATTCTTGGATTCCAGGATCTTAGACATGCAAACAGTGAATCCAAAGCATTAGCTAAATGGGGAAAGAGTGTAAGATTAAAACCTCCTCAGCATGCTCAAATTTATACCTGTCCAGGAACCACAGCCTCAGTGAAGAGATGTTGGAGGAGATATCAGTCATTTTCTGAGTGGAGATTTGATATCTTATCCAAGACAGGTTGTAGCCAGGTGGGGGTTGATCTCCTCTCCAGGTAACGAGTGACAGGACCAGGGGAAATGACCTCAAGTTGCAGCAGGGGAGGTTTAGGTTGGACATTGGGAAAAAATTTCCTCACCAAAAGGGTGGTCAGGCATTGGGACAGGCTGCCCAGGGAAGCAATGGAGTCACCATCCCTGGGAGTGTTCCAAAGGCATGTGGATGTGGCACTTGGGGACATGGTTTAGTGGGGAACACGGCGGTGCTATGTGAACGGTTGGACTCGATGATCTCAGAGATCTTTTCCAACCTAAATGAGTCCATGATTTTATGATGGATCATGACACTCCTCTGACAGTGGCTGGCAAGGCCAGGAAGCTCAAGGCCCTGGTCTGTAGCCAGTGTTTCTTCTGTAGCAGCCACATTTCTCTCAGCAGGGTAACGGGCTGTCATGAGTCATGTCTCCAAACATTTTGTGTCACCACCACATTGGTGAAAGCCCCTGGCTGAACTCTACATTCCCCCAGTAATGCTGGTCTCCGAATCACATCACAGCTCTCATTTCATTACCTCCCAAAACACCCGTGATGGAGGAACACAGGAAGAAAAGCCTTAAATTTTCATTTCCTAGGAATCTGGGAAGTCAGTTTGTTAACCTCCAGAACAGCTTATTTAATGTTGTAACAGGAGGTAAATCCTTCTATTTGCTCTATGTTATTATAGAAGAACATGTCATGATTTGTAACGTAAATCCTCAATTTTGTGAGCATTTGATGAGCACGTGGGAGGTTTATTTGTCTGGCTGCTCTCCCTGAATTGAATGCATCCCATTACATAGACCTAAGAAGTGTAATGTTGGCTTCTTTCAATGTTCTCAGCATATCAGGTTTGTTTTAATACGAGAAGAGTCATTAAATAATTATTCAGCTCTGTCATATTCATCTTAATGGTTTCTTGTTAATAAATAAATCCTGTCATAAGGGCAAAGGGCAGGGATACTGATTCAGACCTAAGGCACAAGTAGTCCACTACCCTGTTTTCAGAAGTGTCCATAAGCAGATGTTAAAGAATAAGTGATATTTCCCCCAACCAACTTGAGCTTCCAACTACTTTCATGTCAGATGATTTCCATCCTCAAGAGATCTCTCTAAAATGCTGTCGTAATTTCTCTTTTAACCCAGGTAAGTTTTCAACACCCACAACCTCTGGCAGGGAGTTCCACAGCTCAGCTGTGCACAGCATGAAAACCATCTCTTCTTCCTCTGTATTAATATTGAAATATGCAAACACACACTGACCTTCTGGCATGTGTTCGTTGGTTGGGGTTCTTTTTTTAATTATGAATTTACCCTGAGTTCTCATGTGTCTTTCCCATGATTTACATTCAGGCTGTTTCCACTGCTCCTACTGCCACTGTCTGCTGTACCCTGAGCAAGCCTCTGGGCTTCCCCTCTTCTTTCACTCCCCAGCTCACATTCCAAGGACAAAGCAAGCAGAGGGATCCTCCAGGCAGCTCCCAGCAGCTTTTTGCTTTCTACCCAGGTTTCACAGGAGGTCAAAGTGACACAGGTGGCTTGAAGCCTTCCCACGCCTCACTGTTCATCCCTGTCCCGCTCTGACACGGTGGTTTTGGTGAGGAGAGCTGAGAGACAGATCAGAGAACGGAGCCAGAAAAGAGAGGGGATGCACCTACTCCTCTCTCTAAGCCCTGTCAGCTCCGTGCTCGGTTCAGAGCAGAGCCCCAGGGCATGTGGTGCAACCAAAGGAGGGGGCAGGAGGAGGTGAGAGTGTTTAAGTCAGCGCTGCTTTGAGGAGGTTTCACATTACCTCCACCCTGGAGTCAAGCAGCAGCTCGGAATATTTTTATCAGCAGGGTGCCCCGAGTACTTTGACTTTTAAAAGCCTGACCAGCATAAGGAAGAAGGCAGATGTGCTTTTTGATAAATGCAGCCCCATCACTGGGGTTTCATTCTGTGCTCCATTTGCAGTCCATGTGAAACAGGGACTAAGGGACACGATGCCTCTGGAAAGGGAATTAATAATCAATTAAACATTTATGCTGGCAAAGAATCCCACCATTTTAATACTGAAATGAACGGAATGGGAATAAGCTTTGACTTTTATTATATTACTCTGACCTCCATCTTCCTCCTTCCCTCTGCCAGGAAGGACTGCAGGGCAGGGCAGGGCCAGACCTGCCCCCCAGCTCAGGCAAGGAGTGAGGGGCAAGAGCTTATGCTGAAACACAGCTCTCAAATCAAGGGCTGGAGGGTTCATGGGCAAAAACATCGAGCAGGAATTCTCACATTTCCATAGCAGATCCAAGGTTACAGCTGCCCTACGTCAGGGCTGACCCTGAGCACTGGCAGGAGGGGCAGGGAGGAGGTTGCAGAACCTGTTGGTGCACTCAGGGCTGTGACAGTCACCTCCTCCCCCATCACTGTCTGTCCCCACACCTCACAAAGGTCCTGCTTTGGAGAGGCAGGTGGTGTGAAATTCCTGGCGTGCAAACAACAGTCCTCACGGGCTGGACTCACCTTGAGGAGTTCAAGGGCCACCAGTTCAAGGTGCAGCACTGTGTAGATGCTCCCAACAGGTCCTACCTTTGCTGGGATCAAACCAGTGGGGCAGCCATGAGGGCAGTGATGAGGCAATGATTGTCTCCTGCATGGACCCTTCAAAGAGACACGAAGATGCTCCGAGGGCTGGAAACCCTCAGAGACAGGCTGGGAGAGCTTGGGGTGTTTACCCCCAAGAGAAGGGTCCAGGGAACCTGGCAGCCTTCTTATCATAGAATCATGGAATGGTTTGGTTAGGAAGGAACCTTAAAGCCCATGCAGTTCCACCCCCTGCCACAGGCAGGGACACCTTCCACTAGCCCAGGTTGCTCCAAGCCCCGTCCAACCTGGCCCTAAACATTTCCAGGGATGGGGCAGCCACAGTTTCTCTGGGCAACCTGAGCCAGGGCCTCCCCACCCTCACAGGGAAGAATTTCTTCCTCATATCTCATCTAACTCTGCCTAGCCCCTACACCAACCCTGATCCAAACCCAAATGTGTCTCCCCACAGCAGAGTTAGATCTCCCACACACTCCCAGCAGAGCAGAATGACCCAAGGCTATGACTGAACTGTTATCAGA